TTTTTTTTTTTCTTTCTTCTTTCAATAAATAAATCAATCTACCTTCTTATTTAATTCTTAATCATCTCCTTCCTTTTTCCTCTCTTTCTCGCTCTCCTTCACCCACTTTTTTTTTTTTTCACGTACATACACGCACTCTCACACCTCCCACTCACTCTCACACACACACACACACACACACACACACACACACACACACACACACACACACACACACACACACATATATATATATATATATATATATATATATATATATATATATATATATATATATATATATATATATATATATATATATATATATATATATATATATATATATATATATATATATATATATATATATATATATATATGTGTGTGTGTGTGTGTGTATACAAAAAAAATTACCTCATAGTTTGGACAAGCACGAAATCTTCTTCCAGGATTACTAGAAGTCCATGAGGTCAACAATTGCATCTCATCTCCGCATTTACAATTAAACACTTCATTTCTAGCAGCTGATCTTGAATTGTAGCTAGAACCACTGTTCTGACTCGTCCTTCATGCTCCATTTCGCAACAAAAATTCTTAATTTTTGATTTCAAATTAAAAATCTAGGATAAATAAAGAGATAATGAAATTTACTTCGAATCCGCGACCGCAAGTGCTGGAATTAGCTACCTACATTGAAGAAGCTTCAAAATTTGAATTGCCCACTTTCTAATTGTGCTTTCAATGATGAATTCATAAGGAATTGAGAGATTTCGAAAATTGGGGCTTTGGGTTTTGCAGAGAATTTGGATATTTATGAAATTATTGTAAAAATCTGAACGTTATTAAGGGGGGTTTATTTTGTGGGTCACGTGCGGTGCATGTCCGTCCATACTAACTGGAGAAGTGGACGGAGGGACATAACCAATATAAAAGTGACATGTTTAGGGATGAAAATTGTAACTTCATCTTGTTTAGGGATAAAAATTGTGTAAGTGACAAAGTATAGGGACGAAAAATGTAATTATCCCACATGGAGTGACATGTGGTTCTTTCCCTCTATTTCAATTTTAAAATTCTCAATTTCTCATTCCACCTATTTTATTGAATCGAATGCATAAACTCTATGTTGGGTGCTAAATACCTAACACGCAAGTGCACGTATCGCAAACAAGTAGTAAAAGTGGACTCGTGAGAGTCGGATGTCGATCCCACAGGGAATACTCAAATTATCTAATCCTAAGTACCAAATTCTAACAATTATGATTTTTATCCAGCCTACGCAAGGTTGTCAAATTTAATCAACTAAATAAAATAAACTAATTATGAAAGCAAATAAACAAGAGAAAATATCAATAAAACGGACCTAGGATTTTATCTTCCCCCTATGCAAGAATTGCTCACCCAAAACCCCTCAATTATGAAATATATGATTCATGATTATTAACCCGAGACACTAATTTACTCATAACCCGCTGTCGCGTGTATTATGAGTCTATTATTCATAAACGATTCACTATATGTCTATGCAAACCAATTATGAATAAAGCATTAACTAACAAGTCTCGTAAATGGCTACCTAAGGTGATATCTGTATGTCTACGACACCACATGCAATTGACACACTCATCCGGTGAAAACTACTCGAAGGTTCTTCTACTTACCGTCTAATTATCAAAATAGCTCTGTCGAGTCAATCCTAATAATCACAGATAAAGCACATAAATTGATCAAGTTCATGCACTAACACTCATAACAAGTAGAAGAAATAATCATAAAATCATAATTGCATAATCTCAAGAAAACGGGTTCACCATCCCCACATAGGGTTCCAACAAAATCCTAGATTAAAAACTTAGCTACGCATGTTCTCTACGAAAAACATAATAAAAACATAAAAAGAATAGATTAAGAAAAGATAGATAAAAGAAGAATTGTGATGAAGAGTTGTCAATTCTCCGTCTTCGATTCTTCGTTCTCTCGCTCCTCTCGCTCCAAGGTTGTGTCAAAAGTCTTCTAATTCGTGCTTGGTTTGCCCTTATATAGATGTCCCAACTTGGTAGATGATTTTAGGTTTCCTTGTGTGATTAAAAGTCCAAAATTGTGTCCAGCGTGTGTTGGCACGGCCGCGCGAAAATCAGTGCAATTCTCGCACGGCCGCACGAGAATCGCCGAACCTTCTGCCCAAATTCAGCATTTGGCACGGCCGTGCCAAAAATAGGCTAATTTTGGCCCGGCCGTGCGGGCCTGTTTTCAGCCAATTTCAGCATATTTTTTATTATTTCACTTTTGGCCCATATTTTCTCCAAATTTGCAGTTTTGACCTCAAACTTTTCCAATTCTTCAATTTATACCTAAAATACAATAAATCAACTTTTTAAGCACCAATTATCGTTAAATCACACCAAAAGCTCAAATAAAAATGTACGATAAAGTATAAAAATATATACTTAACACCCTACCTCCTAAATTCCTCGTACGAAGCATCGAATTGAGGTGAAATTCGCAACAACAAGATTGCCCAACCATAATTTCGCAAATTTCAAACATTTGTGGAGGTGGAACATCAAAATAAAGCAACAATTATTGATTTTGGTAAGTTTCTTCAAAGTTGATATCTTTGAACTTCGTTTTGGGAATTTGAGAGGTGGTAGTTTCGATTTCAATCAAATTGTATATTGTACTGTAGAATATGAGTAGAATTTGGGGGTTAAGGTTTCTGCATTCAGTTCAATGAAATAGGGGAATGAGAAATTGGGGATTTCAATGACAAATTGGAAATTTTAAAATTGAAATAGAGGGAGAGAACCACATGTCACTCCACGTCATTTTTTTCGGCCACAACATCTCGGGGTGTCAGCCAGATCGACATCACGTGCACCACACGTGATATTTCTATCCAGGTTGACTGCCGGAGTTGACGGCAGAACATAAATTGTTAAAAAGGGGCAAGTTTGAGGACATATTTCGTGGATGAAAAAGTTTAAGGACATAAATCGTTTTAGTGGTAAAGTTTAGGAACATAAACTGTAATTTTCCCTTGTGAGGGAGAATAAATGAAAATGTAAATGAAAAAAAATAAAAAATTAGGTCGACGAGTTATTTTAAGTTGAAGAGACGAAAAGCCCATGGACGTAGCCTTGTGCCTCGCGCGTGTGCCGAACTATTCCAATATTCGCCTGAAAATTAGACGTAAGTGGTTAAGTGGCTCGAAATAACGAGTTTGGACGTGACCGTGCAATTTTTCTTTAAAAAGGTGGCAATGTGCAAAAACAGGAAAAATACAAATAACAAACTGCTATTTACCCTTATTATATATATCAAATACAGAGGAAAGTATTGCTAGAAATAGAAGATCGGTCTATGATGTAGTGCTCTAAACAAAGACAAAAACATCATAAGTTTTCACATGAATAAATGAATTTGGGTCAACCAATTTGTGCTAGCACATGCCATTATTCAATATTTTTTTTCTATATTTGATTATTTGCTAACAGTATAAACAGAATAATTTACAATGTAAAGGGAGATAGATGCTCATGAGACAAGTGAAGATAAAATAGAGGAAGGGAAACTGAAGGCTATGTCTTAAAATATGTATTGGATTTGTTACAAGTTAATGTTTAACCGTAAAATTTGATTCGAATATGTCCGATAATTAATCCATTATAGCTCTGCGTATTCCTTTACACCCGAAGAAGATCTATACGAAAATGAGAATACAATCATCAGAGTTGAATAAAGTTGATGTACATTGCCATTAAATGGGAAGAACAAATTTTCCTTGAGCAAAGTTGTTGAGGGTTGAAACCTTGGTGATGTTAAGATATAAACGAATGCCTCTGGAGTTGAATCGTCCAACATCGATGGCACCGTATAAAATTAAGCCGCGCCTGCGCACCGTATAATAGTAAATTAGTAGTATCATACTATCATTATTAAATTTACGCATGTGGAGAAGGTGCGATTTTATCCCACATTGGCTACATATACAAAATCTCGAGACAAGAATGTAATACAAAGATGGGGTTATGTGGGTTTTTTTTTTTTATTTATTATGTTATTTATTTTTGTTCATTATACAATTGTAATTAGGAGTTGCATGTTTATGTAATTAGGTTAATAATAACACAATATGATGAATACAAAATAAAGAAATAGAAAGCCACCAGGTGATATATATTCTAGAAGAAATCTGGCTAGTCAATATGGGAATGCCTACCTACTGTCTCTATTAGGCCACGCCTTAAACAATCTAATGTGTTTCTTTATTACATAAATTAGTACGTAGACAAATTAATCATAATTAAGTTCACATGAATAAATGATTTTGGGTCAACAAATCTGGGCTATCACATGCATGCAAATATTGAAATAATTTCTAGTATCTGAATATTTGCCAACACTATAAATGCCAGCCTTGTTCTAGCTTCACATATCTCACAACAACTACAAATTAAGTGATCATTTGATCAATTAATCTTTCTCTGATTTCAATTTTATCTAGTTTATTTACTTGTGAATGTTTGATAATATGGGTGGCATCACTTACGATATGGAGATTCCTTCTTCGATCCCGGCTTCGAAGATGTTTAAGGCCATCGTTCTTGATGCTGACACGCTCATTCCGAAGATAATGCCACATGCTATAAAAAATGTCGAGATATTGGAGGGAGATGGTACTTGTGCAGGTACGGTCAAGATCATCCATTTTGGAGAAGGCAGCAAATTTAAGAGCGTCAAGCACCGTGTCGATGCTCTCGATGCGGAGAATATGACGCACAGCTACAGCATAATTGAAGGAGATGCTTTGATGGGAGTTGTCGAATCGATCACTTATCATATTAAGATTGTTCCGACCGAAGATGGAGGCTGCATCTGCAAGAACCGAAGCATTTACAATGTGAAGGGAGATGGTCATGAGATAACCGAAGACAAAATAAAGGAAGGCAAAGAGAAAGCAATGGCTATGTTCAAGGCTATCGAGGCTCACCTCCATGCCAACCCCGATTACTGAAAAAACACCGACTACGTGTCCTTGTTTTAATTAATTTTATTGCATTGTGTGATTTCTTGTGTTCTTTATTGAGTTTTGCATTACACTTTCCGCGTATCAATAAGTTGGATTTTCCTGTAATTTTTTCTCGTCCAAGGGTGTTTATTTATTTTGATTGATTGCAAATTTTATTAAGTGTCATCTCTATTTGTTGAGCATTTATACTTTTGCGCTATAAGTTAAAGTGAAATGATAAGAACCTTGTTGAATGACCATCTCAACTAAAAGCTTAAGTTGTTAGTGAAATGTGAAATTGCGAAAATTGCTAACTGAAATATTGAGAAATTGTAAATAAAGTAAATTCCTAAAAGCTGAATCTTGCAATAGCTACCTTAATCTTCTACGCAAAAGAAACTGTCCAAACACTGAGAATACCATTGTAACAATTTTCGGGCTCATGTATTTATTTCGAGCTCTTAGCACTAACCACCTCGTGTAATCTCTAATTGTCACAAAAGTCCATGTACTAAAAAAAAATAGCATAGAGTCATAGACCCCTTATAAAGTTAGTCAAAGTCAACAAGGTTTCTGTGATGCGATACACTCGCCAGTCGCCACAAATGCGACTGAGGGTTGATTTTTTTACTTGAAAATACTAGAATACCCTTTAAATTAGAAATTTTATAAATAAGCCCCAAAATGAAGTTTTCACCATTTCCAGTTCAGTCCCTTTCATTTTCAGAAAGGCCCTCGTATTCCTTAAGTCAGTGACTGATTTGCAATTTTCCAGAAATACACTGAACATAGGTGAGCCGCCGCTCTCCTTCCGGAGAACAACCTCTCCGGCCTCACCTCCCTCTATACCCTCAGCTTCCAGTTCAACCATATCCCCCTTCCACCCCACCACTCCAACATTTTCTCCAACGAAATTTGGTTCGTTTTAGGGCTTTCCCGCACCGACGTTTTCCGCCCATGTAATGGAGCTTTAATTTTTCATCACACCAAATCGAGAGCTTTTCCTCTCTTATTTCCTTTAATATTTAATTTTTTTTTTCTTTTTCTTATTTAAAATTGAAAATTGTTTAACATTTATTATGATAGTTTTGTCATGTCACGAAAGTCTGCAAATAATTTTAACATAAAAGGGCGGTGTGCCTTGCAAAACACAACATAGGGGTGTTATTGCAAATTTTTTTAACATATAGGATTTTTTGGCAATTAGAGATTACACGGAGATGGTCGGTGCTAAGAACTTTATTTATTTCCTTGCATAGCAAAAATGTGTTTTAACATATATATATATATATATATATATAGAGAGAGAGAGAGAGAGAGAGAGAGAGAGAGAGAGAGAGAGAGAGAGAGAGAGAGAGAGAGAGAGAGAGATTTTATTAACACAGGCCAAGCAAGTTCATGCAAAAGCTTCTCAAACCTTATGTTCCGTGCCACTTCCCAAACGCAACCGTATGAGGCTGCTTGTGAAGGAGATTATAGTCTCACTTAGGTTGATCAAAATGCCCAAATTACCCTTGTCGCGTATCTCGTTTATCATGCCGCGGGAGACTTCATTCTCCCGGAGGTGGCGGAAGGAGCGTACTTGCTTGAGGGAAAAGAGACGAAGGACCATGGCTTTTTGCATCTCTCCCCAGTTCGAACTGTAGGGAGAGCAGACAATGTCGAGGTTCTTGCAAGCTACTTTCAGAGAGGCTACGGTACGGCGACTGCCCTGCCTGAAAAAAACATTACTATATTAGATTGATTTGTTATTTCGAGTTTTTTTAACAGAACTTGGTGAGTTTTTAAGGGGTAGTTTGGTAAAAAAAAATACGGAGGGGGTTACTAATAAAATAACAGAAAAAGTTTTCTAACAATTAGAGTGAACACAAGGGTGTTGAATGCAATAAACCCGTAAAAATTACTTAATTACATGATTACAACATATCAAGATCTCATGAAATACAAACACTGCAATGATCTGAACATCGACCGATCGCGCAAGAAGGAATCAAACATATATATAAAAAAAATTCAAAACATTTTCATGATTCCGAATTGGATGTCCCGTTCTTCCCTACGGAACGTTGTCTGGCTCGCTCCATCTTCCGCTTGCGCCATTCTTCCAGAGCTACAAAATTTTCCACAGTTGAAAAAATGGTTTAACATTTTGAACTTCCTTCAACAATATTACTTTCTTCTCTACAACCTTATTATAAAAAAAAAACGTCACATTTTGAACTGTTAAGGTCTCGTTTCAATAAGTCATGATTAATTAAATAAGCAGGTCTTATTTGATGTTGGGTAACTTGGGTTAGTACAAAAATCTTTTCAGGCCGACTTATGAAAAATGGGCTCTTATCTTGGCTTGGCTTAGGTTGTGTTTGCAAAAGCTAATGCAGAAGCAGAAGTTAGTGATTGTGAGTTAAAGTCAGTATGAAGTGCTTATTTCTAAAAGTTGGGGGTGCTTGCAAATAGGCTGGAAAATACATATTATGAGTCAAAAAAGCTCAGAATCTATTTCTAAAAGCTTCTGCAAACACCACCTCCACCTTATTAATCGGTGGATTGTGCTGCGCAAGATTGCATAAGCTTATCTCGACTAATGTCTTATCTTATTTTCAAAATCAAACAAACATGCCACATATGCCAATGACAAGCAATATTGTGCATTATACCAAGAAACAATAAAGAAAAACGGATAAGAAAATAACCTTTAGTGCTGCCGGAATCTGAATAAGAACGGTAATTATTCAACCTAGATACGAGGTCCATTGCAGCTGTCTGCTTTACATCTTTAGCCTCGATTTCTTCTATTCCGACATATTCATCCTCCGTAATTTCTCTAACCTAAAAAGAAGATTACAATTATCTACTGAGACCACGAATCACCTTTAAGGCACAAGCTCGAAAAATCATATAGGATATGATTTAATAAAATCATAATAAGCTTGGATGAATACAAATCAGGGCAAATTACAATCACCCCCGAGGTAAGATAAAATTACGAAAAAACCCCTCTTGTTTGCGTGATTACAGTCACCCCTCAACTGATTTTTTCTAAATTTTTTTTAATAATTTTTTTTTAATTTCTTTTAATTATTTTTTGTTTAAATGCTAATATTTCATATATATATATATATATATATATATATATATATATACATATATGAAATATTAGCATTTAAACAAAAATTAATTAAAAAATTAAAAAAAAAAACAATTTTTTAAATATTTTTAATAAAAAATCAATAACTCGGTTATTTACCGAATCGTACGATAAACGGTAAGAAAATTTGGCGCACCCAAATTACGATTTTACCGAACGAACACCTCTAAATTTACCAACTAAAAGGGTTTTTTCGTAAGACAACACATAGTTGAGGGGTGGCTGTAATTATGCAAACAAGAGGGTTTTTTTCGTAATTTGACCTTACCTCAGGGGTGGCTGTAATTTGCCCTACAAATTAAGCAACATAATCAGCCTTGTTTGGGCATACTCACTCTTCTGATTAGATCCACAGGAACCATAGCGCGTCGTATCTCTTCACATTCCTTTATATGTCTTTGTAGAGCTGTGCACGAAAGAAAAAAAAAAAAGTAACGGAACAAAGTTCATAAGCAAACACACTTATCATAAAGAATTACGATAGGTGGAATCATCTAATAATGTTGAACCTATCATGAAAGTGGTCGTAAAAAGGAATCCACGAGGACCATGATCGAGTAGTAATTCTCAAAATTATTTGATTAAGCTCAACACAAACTATTGCTTTACAAATGTCGAACCATGATAGTTTTTACGAAGTTCGACTACGAAGAAATTTGAAACTTCCATGAAGATTATGCACAACCACACACTAGCGGAGCCAGTATTTTAAGTTTGTGGGCGTCGAATGCATTAATTTTTTTATAAGGGGCCCCGATAATGCTAATTATACACGATTTTTTTTTTAAATCTTTACATAAAAAATAGGGATTCGAGAATTGTTGAGGGGCCATGGCCCCTATTGGCCCTATGCACTGCAACTACACAAGTAGAAAGTGTGCACAAATTAACGCGTGGGTGATCAGTTCATTCTCAAAAATTTTGAAGACCGATTGAGCAACAGAAACCCTCAATAAGCACCATAAATAAAACGGAGACGACAAAACTCAAAACACTCGAATTACTAATCTAGAACGCTAAACTTTTCATTGTTTCTAAATTCTACCCAGACAGTTGACGGATCGTTATTACTATTATACAACTTGATTAATTCAAAAGAATAACACTGTAAACTAAAACATACCCTAAGGCCTCGTTTGGTTGCCAAGATAAGATTAGCCAAGATAAGATTAAATAATCTACTATAAACCCAATTATATTATAGGACATTCGATGATTCAATAAACAACCATGTCTAGAAGTCAAGATAAGACCATGACAACATAGTATTTGAGCGTCGACCCGGCAAGTTGTTAGGGATACCAAAAATCAAACAAAGTCCAATTATTTAGTTAATCATGGCTAATCACTCCCAGCCAAACAAGGCCCTAAATTTGGAGAGAAAATCTAAAACTAAAGAACAGAAAAAAAAAAAAAAAAAAAAAAAAAAAAAATCAAATTCTAACACTGAATCTTCCAATACTCTGTTAATTGCTTCAAGTTTTATTACAGTATTGAAAATTCATCATTTTTTTCACAAAAGCCCATAAAAAAGAGTACATACAAGAAAATTGAAAAGAAGTAGTAAAGTTGAGACCTTTATTAGAGGAAGCGATGTTTGAAGAAGAAGAAGAGAAGAAGAAGCCTTGAAGCAATAGAAGAACGGTGATAGTATTGAATAAGCAGACAATTATGGTGGCGTTCTTGTACGATAATCGTGATTTGACCGACCTCCACCATTGTTGCACCTGCATTTTCTCCATTTTTTGAAATAAAGGAAAATGGGTTTTGAGCTATTTCCAGAAAAGAATAATACAATTTGGTATCTACTTCAACGTTTTCATAAATCGTGCTGCCGTTTTTAGTACCATGAGAAAAAAATGAAAAAATATATTAAAAGGATCAATTACAAAAAATTCCCTTATGTTTGGTGTTTGGATAATTACGATTACCCTTACAGTGTGAAATTCAACATAATCTTCTAGATTTCGTGGAATGTTTGTTCTCTAGTTTGTACTCATTTTGTGCAAAAATGCAGTTTCTGGTGCACTTCAATCTGATTTTTACAATCCAAGAGACACATCTTATGATCATTTTTTTTTTCCAAAATATAGAGCTCGAATGGAGTAAAATGGGTACAAACTGGAGAATATTCAACATAATCTATAAGATTCCACTAAATTTGACACAGTAAGGGGATGGACGTGTAAGAACATTCATAGTTGAAGGGCGAAGTTGCAATTACACAAACATTATGGATTTTTTTTATAATTACCGCCACGCCTAAGACAAGATCAAATTACAAAGCAACCCTTGATGTTTGGACAATTAAAACCAGGTCCCTCAACTATGGATCTTTCTTACACGACCACCCTTATGGTGTAAAATTCAATAAAATCTTCTAGATTCCGTGGAATGTTCTCTGGTTTGTACTCGTTTTGTGCAAAAATGCAGTTTCTAATACACAATAGTCTCATCTCATGATATTTACAAGCCAAGAGACACAACTCATGATTATCTTGTTTCAAAATATATAGCTCGAATAGGTTAAAACATGTACAAAATGAAAAATATTCAACATAATTTAGAAGATTCTACATAAGTTGGCCGTAATTTACCCATATTAAAAAATTAAAAGGAATCGTGGTCGGCAGGATTCGAACCTGCGCGGGCAAAGCCCACATGATTTCTAGTCATGCCCGATAACCACTCCGGCACGACCACAATTGATAAGTTAAGTCCAATCATCTAATTCCACCTGTAACTTTTGTTACCTCCTTTTATCTTCAATTCGGTGGTAGTTTGCTGCAGCCCCATTCCATGTTTGAGGTCTGTAAAATATTTACTTGCATTTATTTAAAAAACGTTGCGCCATTGTTGAAACTACTGTCGTTTCATTTAAGAACTGTATTCTTTATGCTCTCGATTGATTGCTGAACGATTTGACTGCAAAAATATTTCTGGGTATGAGAATCCCTGCAGGTTTAAATGCCTTACCTTTATATGTTCCTATTTTTGCTGGAACCCTTAGCATGGGAATCGATGAACTTCCTTTTTCTTTTTCTTTTTCTTTTTCTTTTTGGGAGGGTTTCTTGAAAGTTGAATGTTTCTTGAATCGGGTTGCCCACCAGGTGTTTGAAGAAATGTCTAGTCAGTCATAGTTTTGTGCTCTTCCTCGATAAAGATTACATTTTTCTTGCTTCCTTTTCACATTTTATATTTTGGGTTTTCAATTATGGGTTGTTCGAAATGGTGCATTTGAGAATCCTCGTCTCCCTTTTCGACTTAATGCTGGAATTTGAAATCAGTACAATGAGAACACCAATAGCCGAATCTTTATTGCTTTGTTATCTTGTTACTAACTTGATTAGTTCTTTACTTTTTAGTCGAATTTAAATTCAATCTTAATAATTACGAATGCTAATACGTATCTTTTATTCAGGTTTACAGCATATGATATGGCATTGACATTATTCAGGGGCTTAAGATCAAATTGTTTCCGTTCGTACCCACCGTCACTGTGTATTACTAGAAAACATGGCGTATTGCATTGTAGCATGAGCAGTAGTGCACAAGGACAAACCGCAACGCAAGAAAAGCAACACGCCCAACTCAAAGACGTGCCAAAGAGAGAACCTTCGAAAAAATTAGAAGAAGTCTTGAAACATTACGAGGCAGTCATAGGAATCGAGACCCATGTCCAGCTGGCGACTCTCACAAAGGCATTTTGCAGCTGCCCTTATAACTACGGGGCGCAGCCGAACACGAGCGTTTGTCCGATTTGCATGGGGTTGCCTGGAGCCTTGCCGGTTCTCAACTCAAAGGTTATAGAGAGTGCAGTAAAAGTTGGTCTTGCACTAAACTGCAAACTCTCTCTTAGTTCGAAGTTCGATAGGAAACAGTACTTTTATCCGGACCTTCCAAAAGGGTACCAGATATCGCAATTTGATATCCCGATTGCAGCTGATGGTTACGTTGATATCGATCTTCCAATTGAATTTGGTGGTGGGCATCGAAAATTCGGCATCACCAGAGTTCATATGGAAGAAGATGCCGGAAAGTTGCTTCATACTGGAAACGGCAATTTTTCTCAGGTCGAGATTTTTTCTCCAATCAAATTTTCTTGTTTTTACGGCTTGTTTCATTAAGATTGGTTTATTGGACCATGGAATGTCCAATAAATAAGATAGGCCACAATAAAATAATATTCCCGGCTCGACGAAGTTATTGGGTTTACCAAACATCAAACAAAGTTCAATTATTTAGTTAATCATGGCTAATCTCCACAACCAAACGAGGCCTTAATCTTAGGAACAAGCTGGAATTTAGTGTGACAGTAACTATTTTATCTTGGCCAATTTTCTCGTTTGTGAATTGCTTCTTGATGATGACTTACAACCGTTATTTCAGTTGTGTTCTGCTTTTTAATGATTTTCAGGGTTTCGGGTTTGTTTCTTTGGCAGGTTGACTTGAATAGGGCAGGAGTTCCGTTGCTCGAGATTGTGTCTGAACCTGATATGAGAACAGGTGTCGAAGCGGCAGAATATGCTGCAGAGATACAGAGATTAGTTAGGTATCTTGGAGTGAGTAACGGAAATATGCAAGAAGGGTCTCTTCGATGCGATGTTAATATATCGGTTCGCCCGATTGGGCAGGTGGAGTTTGGCACGAAGGTGATTTTTAGTGCTTTATTCACTTTATTATATAGCTTACATGCGGAACCGTAATATATTAATAAATTTGAGAGTATCGGTTCAACTTCTGCTAATTTTTTCTATGATTTCTATTTGTACCAACTAATTATCAAGAATGACGTGTAAATTTATAGCAGCTAAACTATCTTTATATCATCGAGTCGAACTCGAATCACATAGTTATTATATTTTTTTTTTGTTCTTCACTAATTTTATTGATTTTATCGGATTATGTAGTAACTTCATAAAATAAATCGAAATTTGCATAAACAGGTTGAAATAAAAAATTTGAACTCGTTCTCGTCGGTAAGTAGGGCCATCGATTTTGAGATATTAAGGCAAGTCCGACATATCGATGAAGGCCAGGCTGAGAAAATCGTACTGGAAACTCGTCTCTGGGAGGAAGGTGCTCAGGTCATATTTCATTCTCTTCGTACTATCATTTACACTATCTCGTAAATGATTTTCTTGCTTTATTTATTTTTTTATTTTTTATTTCTTGGGAAATCAGAAAACTGTTACAATGAGAAAAAAGGAAGGACTTGCTGACTATCGGTACTTCCCGGAGCCTGATCTTCCTGAAGTTAATCTCAGTGAGGAATACGTTAATGAAATTCGTAATTCGTTACCTGAATTACCAGAAACAAAGCGTAGGAGATTTGAGAACATGGGACTTAGCATGCAGGACGTTCTTTTTCTTGCAAATGACGTAAATGTAAGCCCTTTTCAAGTTGGTTTTTGTCTACAGTTTTTTGCCTGCTATTTGGTGCAATTAGTGTGGCATCCAACTATTGTGAAATGTCCGTCTGTCTTAGGTAGCTGCATTTTTCGATGCCACAATAGCGTCGGGTGCCGATGTAAAACTGGCTGCTAATTGGATAATGGGTGATATTGCTGCTTATATGAAAAACGAGAAGTTGTCCGTTAACGAGATTAAGCTCACCCCTCAAGAATTAGGCGAACTGATAGCCTCGATTAAAGGTGGAACCATTAGTGGAAAGATCGGCAAAGAGGTATCCTCGTTTTCTTTTTCTCTGTCGACTTTACAAGTGATTATTTTTAAGGTTTCGGCAAAAAAACCGCTTCAAATTTCCTCTTACCGTACCTAATATTAAAAAATAAAGGGTAAATTACAACTGCCCCTGAGGTACTGTCAAATTACGAAAAAACCCCTCTTATTTGGATAATTACATCTTCTTACACCTCCACCCTTATGGTGGCAAATTCAATATAATCATCTAGATTCCGTAGAATGTGGTCTAGTTTGTACTCGTTTTGTGCTAAAAGGCAGTTTCTGATGCACCAAAATCTGATATATATACAAGCCAAAAAACACATCTTTTGATCATCTTGCTTCAAAATGTGGAGCTCGAATGGGATAAAACCGGTACAAAAGTGATAATATTACATATAATCTAGAAGATTCCACTAAATTTGAAACCGCAAGGGCGGACGTGTAAGAAGATTTATAGTTGAGGGGTGGTTGTAATTACCCAAACAAGAGGTGGTTTCGTAATTTGACCATACCTCAGGAGGGGTGGTTGTAATTACCCAAACAAGAGGGGGGGTTTCGTAATTTGACCATACCTCAGGAGGGGTGGTTGTAATTTACCCAAAAATAAATGCAAGCATAAAAATAAAAACACAGAGGAGTTATGTACTACGATTCGTTTTCGGTACTGTTTTCGAGATTTTATATATATTTATTTATTCTCGTGTGCATGAATGAAACATGCAGATACTGTTTGAGCTAATGGCAAAGGGTGGAACTGTGAAAGGGCTTATTAAAGAAAAGGATTTGGTTCAGGCAAGTTGTTTCACGTTGTTCGTATTTATAATTTTGTCATAAGAACCTTCACACAAAGCTTGACGTTTTTTTTTTTTTTGAAATTACTTTAATCAGATTACGGACTTGTCTGAGATCGAGAAAATAGTGGATAGAGTACTTGCAGAAAATCCGAAGCAGTTGGAGCAGTATCGAGGGGGTAAAACGAAGCTACAAGGATTTTTTGCAGGCCAGGTTTGTGATTATTTACCGAAACGACATTCGTTTATTTTCTCTATTTTTTTTTTTTGTGTGTTGTGCAAGAGGTTCGTTCTAACATTCTTACGAACAATTTCCAGATAATGAAAGAAACGAAAGGGAAAGCAAACCCGGGGATTTTGAACAAGATACTTCTCGAAAAATTGAATGCAAAAGCCTGATGCTTTCTTTTTCACTAGCTTCTTGCTCTAGATTTATATTTTCACTGAATAATACTTATGATATATTTATTCTTGGAATCCGAAAAATGGAGTAAAGTACACATGCATTTTTATTGTTTTAGGCTTAGTCGAGGTTTACAGTTTCGACTTTCGATTGGCTACGATAAAAATTGGTTTATTGCATTTGGGACCTTGTCTTTTACCTTAATTGCTAAAAGAAAGGTCCTTGTGCCGACTAGGGGTTGTGAATTAAAGAAAACACAACATAGAGGTTTATCTTAATACAAAATAATTTGTTCACTATTCAATATAACAAATGGGGTTTTACCAATAAATGATGATAAATATAGCCAAAATTTTGATTTGATTGTTTATTTATTTATTTATTTTCGTACCGTTTCAAAGTTTGCGAAAAATACAATTTTCCTCATATTTGCAATGATTACTAATTTGGTCCCTCATGTTTCAATTATTTAACATTTCTGGTCTTTTACGTCAATTTACCGTTAGTTCGTCGGTTAAGGAAGTCATGTGCACAAGTTTGATTTCTGCTAGTACTAACGGAAAATTGACGGGAAGACCAAATGTGTTTTTTTGTGAATATGAGGGACCATATATGAAATTAGTAAAACTTGAGGGGTGAAAATTGTATTATTCCCCTTAAAGTTTGAATGGATGGCCACTTCTAGAAAAAAAGACAAATAAATCTCCTAAATATAGGAAAGAGCATGAAACTAATATGAAAAATCAAAGGTAAATTACATCCTCATATTTTTTGTAACATCCAGTTATTCTCCATTGCCATTTCCAAATATCCTAATATGCCATCAAGGCCAGAAAGAAAAAGAGGTGGTGGTGGTGGTGGTGGTGGCCCGGTGAGGTGGCGGCCGTACATTGATGATCATGGAAGGCGCACGCAAGGTGATGGTGGTGGCGGACCCCACACGCGAGTCCGCGGGTGCCCTCCAGTACGCCCTCTCGCACGCAATCGTCGACAACGACACCTTGGTTCTTCTCCACGTCGAGAATCCCAATGCATGGAGGAATCCCTTTGGCGCGTTATTTAGAAAGCAGCCGAGCACCGGTGCCGGTGGTGCCGCCGCGTCCAATTCCTTGCCTCCGGCTTCGGCGGAGGGTGGCGGAGGAGGGGTGGAGGTGGATTTTCTGGATGCGATGAAGCAAGCGTGCGGGGCGGCACAACCGAAGCTGAAGGTGTCGGTGGTGGTGGCGAGGGCGGAGATGGCCGACGGAAAGGATAAGGCTTCGGTGATTCTTGGGCAAAGCGCAGCGCTTAAGATTGATCTTCTTATTGTTGGACACAAGAGAAGTCTTTCCAATGCAATTTTAGGGTGAGTTTACTATTTTATTATATTATCAAACAATTGCATATGAAAATCTTGAAAGTGTCACAAATACCATATAATGCATAAAAGTATTTTCATTCATCTCAAGTATTCCTAATATTTTGTGAAATTTATGCATATATATTCTTCAATTATTATTCTTTGAATTTCTATTGTAATCAACTCATGCTTTTGTTTGCGAGAAACCCTTTTCATGAAATTGTATACCTGTCGAGTGGTGTTTGCAAAATGTTTTGAAAATAGATTTTGCTGTTTTTATGTTTTTGCAAAATAAACTTTTGTTTTCTTCAAAATAAGTTGTTTTAAACTATATTTAATAAGTACTTATAGACCTGCTTTTTCTATTTAAGTTGATTTTACCAGTGAATTTGTAAATACCCTTAACGTTTAGAAATAAACACTTGGGTAATATTTGCAAAAACTTATTTAAAAGTAAAAGTTGGTGATTGATTATTTTTAAAAGTTGGAGGTGTTTACAAATGCTTTGAAAAACCCACTTAAATAAAATAAAATAAAAATTTGTTTATATGTGCTTTTAAGTCTATAGCTTAATAGCAACTTATTTTTAAGAGAAACAAAAGTAAAAGTTGATTCTGCAAGCACCTAAAAGCAGAAAAAAATATTCAAAAGCTCTTACAAACACCACCTTAAAATCAACTTAACTCACATTTACTGACCTATACTTTTAAATAAGCTTTGGCAAACACTTAAAAATCAATTCCTTTGCCAACAAATACTTCTTTCTAATTGCACCCAAAGAACAAAACCTTCAGTCTAGTAAAATAATTACTCCATCCATATAAAATTGCAGAATTTGTGTTGATAACTAAATATATATATAAATATAAATATAACAACATGACAAACTAATTAATAACTAAATCATAATAATTCCGATAATCACCGTATAAATTAATCCGAAAATTGCAGGTCGAGAAGAGGGGGTTCACTGAGAGGACTAGACACGGACCATATAATAACGAACAGCAAATGTACATGCGTAGCGGTGCAGAAAAAGGGCCAACATGGAGGCTATCTCCTCACCAGCAAAACCCATAAAAACTTCTGGCTCCTCGCGTAGGGGACGAACAAACGAACGAGTCATCTAATCTTGTCGCTCTCTTTTATATGTATTTCCTTTTCAATGTTTTGTCTTCTACTTCACGTCACAGTTCCATCTTGTAAGTAATAAAACATTTCCCACCGATTTTAACTGTATAAATTCCACTTGACAAACAAAAAAAAAATGAAAGAAAATGTACCATGCCTGTTTATAAAGACGGATATAATTTATTCAAAGTTCGTCGTGCATGGGGTGTTCTAATGGGATATTTAATTCGGGAACAACGACTGGATTAACGGGAGCAACGTTGATACCATCTCTGCCACCTATCTCTTCTTGTTGTGCTGCCATGCCGGCTTTCACTGCATCAATTACCTTTCTCTGCAACTTTAGTACACCGACACGCTTCGAGACGACGTACAGTACAGCCAATGAGAAGAGAATCAATCCCGTAATTAGTATTACTCTGCCAAAACAAGCTCTACTTTAGACGAGAGAGAGAGAGAGAGAGAGACTACTACTACTACTATTTTGAGAGTTTTATTACATTCAGCACCCTGTGTTGCATCGAATTGCTAAAAAAATCTCGGGGGTTATAAATATTAGCAAAAAAAACCCTACGATGCATTGTTTTTAGCACAAAACCACTAAATGATGCATTTTTAGGGGGTAATTTGCTAATAAAAGTGAATCATAGAGAGGGTTTGCTAATATTTATAGCGCGGGGAGTTTTTTAGCAGTTATAGTAAACAAAAGGTGCTGAATGCAATTAACTCTCTAATTTAAGGATTAAAACAAGCAATATACCTATCAAGAACATCTTGACGTTGCATTGTGGAGAGAAGGTTACGGGTCCTAGATAATAACGAGCGGTGGCCCTTGTATTCGCTTTCGGCTTTCCTTAATACTCCCGTCGATTCCTCTGTACCAACATACAAAAAAATCTCATGAAAAACTATTACCTAATTCAACTCTCGTCGACTTTATTGAAAAGCATATCAAGACAAAGCAAAAAAAAACTTTTTCTTCGTGCATCGCATTTTTTTGCCGATACGACATGCTAAAAGTTATGCTTCTCTATTGAATAAAGAATAGGGAACAAAATATGAATCGAAAGGCGAACTCACTGAAGGCAAATAGTATTAGTAAATATATATATATATATATATATATATATATATATATATATATATATATATATATATATATATATATATATATATATAGTTGTTGTAGGAAAAATCGAGGATCGTACCAACAGTCAAGAGAGTGCTTCCACTTCGTACAACTTCCTATAGACACGGAAGAAAAAAAGAATTTTGAAAATTACATAAAAGTCCAAAATGCATATCCACATCAGAAATTAAAAAAAAAATCGAATTTTTTACAACCTGAACCATGAGCTGACGAGTACGTCGAAGGCTTTCTGTGATGCTCTCAGCAGCAGAAGTCATTCCTGCTTTTGTCCTGACAATTATTTTACGAAACAAACTTATTCAATGGTCGGTCGTATTATTTGAAAATCATAAGTTATCTCGAAATATTTCCTTGTTATTGATATTGAATAATGTTCCGAATGACAGGTCGAAAAGCATTGTACATACTGCAGATTGCGCCTTCGAGTTGTAGACTCTTCGCCACCTCCTAAGAGAAGCTCTCGCTGCAATCAGTCACATATATAAAAAATAAATTAATAAATAAAATGTGTGGCACATATGAAGCACCCATCCAAATGGCAGACGAAGAGTTTATGTATATCATGTCAATAAATATATATGCTGCTGCTATAAACTCGTTACCTCTTGTTGAGCAGCTTTTGTCATGTTTGTCTTTGCTTGCAAATTAGCATTCCTCAAACTCAGCCGCAAACTATAATTCGATTCAGATTAATACGAGAAGTGAATAAAAAGAAACCTAATCGAAAATGTTACATATGCAGTCATGAAAATAAATAGTTCACCTCCCACCGATCATTTTCGTGCCTGACATTATCGAAGATAAAACGAAAGACAACATATATTTTACTGCTTGTGCCACTTACGGAAATATTTAGATCAACTTATCCAAACTAACACCAAAATTGGTGATGTTCGACACAAACATAATTTACGAAGAACTAGATTAATAGACTGCTTTTGCAATTACAAACATATTCGATTAAAAATCAAGACATCCCATTAACCAGTTTATTGCCCTTTCTCTTTCTGTTATAATCCTATTATTGACACGCGCATATCAACAAACACTTCACAGGCATAACATTTAAGACAAACCAGACATTCAGAATTACTGGATACAACTGAAAGAAATATAAAAATTAAGAAAAAAAAAACAAAAAAAAAAGAAGTGGGATATCAATTATGGGGCACCTCTGGATTTGATTTTTCCAAGACAGGGCCAAAGATTGGGCATTTTCAACATCATCAACAGAGGGGAGTTGTGGGGCAAGAAGATCGAGATCGAATTGGAGCGATTGCAGCGTGTTCATCCCATCTTGAGCTAACCCATTCAATCTGGGGAGCGATTTTTTCTTCTCCGCTTCTTCGATTCCGATTCTGGAAGTTTTACCGTAATCTTGGATGGAATCGATGTGTTTGAGGGTCTGATTGTACGTTTCTTCGAAATCTTTTTTCACTCTCTCCACTTCCTCCGCTACTTGATCCATTCGGGAAAATGAATTTCGGATCGGGGTGAAATTGGTTGAGCCAAATCGAAGCTGTGTGTAGACGATTTGCAGGAACTCGAACGATTTATCAATGGCAGCGCGAAGAAGAATATAAACTGAATGCGTCGCACACAAATGAAATTTAGTCGAAAATCTACACTGTTTTTCGAAAACAATTCGGTGCTTGCTAATTTATTATTTTATTATTGGGATGTGATAAATGTTCGTTCAATCTTTATTTCGACTTTAAACTTGATTTTGATCATTTTTAATTTCAAATTTTGCAAAACCAGAAAAATAGAATTTGTACTATTTTGAGTTAGTTTTCTAATTCAACTTGAATCACCAAAATTGGATGTGAGACGAGAAAGATATACATGAATCAATGGATATTGCCCATCAAAGTGGATGTGAGACGAGAAAGATATACATGAATCAAGGGATATTGCCCATAACTTTGATGTATTGAGCTATCTAAAATTCAAAATGTGACTCATTCATGCATAACTTTGTCACACGGCATCCAATCTAGTGGATTTAAGTTGGATTAGAAAGTTAACCCAAAGGACTACAGTTGTCGTGTTACCAATTTTGCCAAAATCAATATAGAAATATGTTAAAATCAGGTTCGAAGTCAAAACGATATTAGTAAAATTGAAACGGCATTTAATATTTCAGTTTATTATTTTATTATATAGGCATTGTTTGATTTATTAAATAAATTTAGCCATAACAAAATTAATAATTTTATTAAAAAAAAATCAATTTATTCTTGATAATCTCATAATTAGGTAGTGTTTGCAAATGTAGTTACAAATAGATTATTAGTTTTTTTTTTTTTTTCTAATAATCTTTTTTAAGTGTTTGGAGTCATATTGGAGTGACTGTTATTGAAGAAATACAGGCTATTGTCATATTCGGCATTGGTAAATTTTAATTGATAATATCTACAATATTAATTGGTAATTTTTACTGTTTTTTTTTCTTTCTTTTTTGTCGAATTGTCGAACTAGCAACAGAACACGTTATGGATCTGAATTTTCGGTCCTATTGTTTGTTTGTTATGAATGCATATATCGATTTTCAATTATTCTGTATTTTATTGTTTTTTGTGATTTTTTTTCAAAATTTCGGATCTTAGAGCATGATTGTATGCACTGACACTCTATGATTATACTTTTATCGGGTTTCATATTGTTTTGACTCCGTTTATTTACTGAGAATGTATATGTGAAGGTATCATTTGGTTGTTATGGATTTCAACTGTATAATACCATAACAGTCACTACCATAATAGTCACGTATAGTGGCGTAACTACGCATGTTATATTTTGCAAACAGTTGTGCTCAGAATCACATATAGTCATATAATGTATTTATTGCATATTTCACTGCCCACTTAGCATGTGTATCGGTCAACTGTTTACATTTTATCCATTTTTTTGATGTTTTCTTTGAATAATTTCAGCTTTGAGCAGCATCAACAGTCATCAACTGATGTAACCAGATTACATGATCAAGATTCTATGATAGCCCTATATCTCTATAGTCACGAAGTCATATAAATAGTTACATATACCATTATATATAGTCGTCATATATAAGTTCTGTAGGTTTTTCTGATGATACTGATGATTGTTTTTATTGAAGAAATGCATGTGACTGTGTGAATATATTGTGGTCATGAATTGAAGTTATTTTGTATTCGTTCATTATACATAATTGGTGATAATACGAATATTACATTTTTTTGGATTCAAAATGTCAAAAAATGGTACATATAAAGAAGAAACGTGACTAGAGATAACTGTAGTCAAACATTGTCATATCCGACGTAGTAAACTTATAAAAAAATCAGAGAAATTAAAAAAATATATATATATATTAAAAAGTAAAAAGACTTGGAAAATAATAAATGCAGTAAATAATGTTAATGTTTATTATGTAAGTGAAGGGTATTATTGGAATAAATAGTGCTAAAATGTTATCACAAATGAAGATTTAAAGGATGATAACATATCACCATTTCTTAGAGCATCTCCAACCATCCATGTTTTGGGATAGTCAACTAAAAATCCATCCATATAGCATTTGTAAGCAAAAAAACATGCTCAAACGGAGAAGCTAAATTATTGCTTGGTAGGTAAAATCAATCCTCCACCAGCTAAATATACCATCTACTGTACATGAAAGCTAAATAAAGATAATATTAAAATAATACATAAAAAGTACTATCCGGACCAAAGCCCACGTCTGACATTTTGTGTATTTGATTTTTTTCCTTTTGATTCTATAAATTTCATTTATAAGGTTTAATTTGTTTATTTAGGTAATTATATTCAATGTTTTTTTCTTTTTTTAAAAAATTATATTCAATTGTTTATTTATAAAAGGCATGTGCCGTAAATCTAATTTTGACATACGATGTTTGATTATTTTTTTATAAAAATTATCAATGTTTGATTCATTATTAAATTTATATAAGATATTTTTATTAATAAATTAATAACTATTTATTTTAAATAATAATTATATATATATATATATATAACATAACAAATATAATTTATAAATATCAATTCATAAAATAATTACAAATTAATAAAATATAATAAAATGCTAAATTTTAAATGATATGGTTGGAGTAGGATAGTAAAAATTGAGGTGGTATAAATTATAATACTATTGAGTAGCTATTATAGATATAACATCTCCAATTTTAACTCTTAACCTTGGAGATGCCCTTAGTCATAAGAGAGGCTAAACGCTAATGACCCTTTTTATTTTAGGGGTAATATGCATCATACCCTTCAAACCAAATTTAATTAGATATGAGTGACAAACTCAAATAAAATATTTTAACTACATTCTTATTTCAAAATAAGAATTGATACACATCCTTTGATTTTTATTTAACCCAAAAATACCCTTACAATACCTAATAAAAGTCACGTGTCTCTCTTTTTCTCTTATTTCTTTCTCTCTCTCCTCCCGTGTCTTTCTCACACCGCTCGACATCGCCGCACGTTCTGGTTCGTTCTCTCTCTCTCTCTTCTCTCTCTCTCACTCTCTCTCTCTCTCTCTCTCTCTCTCTCTCTCTCTCTCTCTCTCTCTCTCTCTCTCTCACGTCCCCCCCTCCCTTCCTCTTTTTTTTTTCTTTTCAATTACAGTGAAATGATGAAGGTTATGATGGCGGCGGTTACGGTAGGCGACGACAGTTATGGCGACGCTCGGTGTAGGGGTTGCATCGGGAGGCTCTGTGATGGTAGACTCGTTGTTTGCTTGTAACCAACAGGGATGAATCGTGAAGGTGGGTCTGGGTATGGGGGGATGGAGAGGGGGAGTAGTGGCGGTGGTGGTGGTGGCGGCGAATCGGATTTAGGGTTTGTTGGGGAAAATTTAAAAAAATTCGATTTAAATGTCTACAGATGCCTATGAGTGTCTATGGGTGTCTATGGTGTTTGACGGCTAGAGTTGAAAGGAGTTAGGGTTTCAAGATGTCTATGGATTACTACGGATTACTACGGTTTCTACGGGTTTCTGTAGATATCTACGACAAAAAAAAATTAAAAAAATCATAATTTTCAATTTATCTAGAAAAAGAAAAAGAAGGGGAAAAAATATATTTTATATAATGAAAAAATACGAAAAAATAAAAATAAAAAAGAAAAAAGAGAAAAAAGAAACCATAATCTATAATTTTATGTAGAAAAGGGGAAAAATAGATTTTTATATAATGAAAAAATATGGAGAAAAAAAACGTGTTTCACGAAAAATTAAAAAAAATGGTAGATGCAAATTTAAAAATGTTAAATAATACCATAGTTCGTCATAGTATATTTATAATTTGCTGTAATTTTGAATTTGTGAGTAGAGGGGCATTTTTGGAATAAATTTAATAAAGAATGTGAAGCAAATTTTAATTAGACTTGTCATTTAGTTATAATACGGTTTGTCACCAAGGATTTATATCTCAAGACCCCTTTATTTTTATATGTATATAACTAAAATAGATTAAATATTAGAAAAATTACAGTTTTCACCCCTCAAGTTTGCACTGATTTCACATTTGGTCCCTCATGTTCACAAAACACACATATCCCTTAGATTTTAATAATTTAACACTTTCGGTCATTTTCGTCATTTACCATTACTCCGTCATTTAAGGCAGTGACGGACACCAAACTTGATTCAGTTAGTACTAACAGAAAATTGACGGAACTAAAGTGTTGATTTTAAAACATGAGGGACAAAATGTATTTTTTTTGTGAACAAGGACGACCAAATTTGAAAGCATTGCAAAGTTGAGGGACCAAAACTGTATTTTTTCCCAATAAATATTAGAATTATACACACCTCAAGAAAGGGTGTCCAAAAATTGGGTTAAGAACTTCCAATAGTCTGTCACAGTGGAGCAGCTTAAATCAATCCAAAATTGCCACAACCACTACAGACATACATACATACATACATACATTTCTTTCACATTTTTTTCAACCTTCAAAAAAACTGTCGAATATTATAATTATTATCTAGCCGACATTTCCGTTTCTACGAAATCAGAAGTGCCGAAATTCCTATGTTTTCCATCAGCTAAATTAGTTAATTGAAAACCTTCATCAGGTAGCTGATTTATCAGTAGAGTTTCCAGCTGGCAAGCCATGCTCTTCCCCGGTACCAAGAAATATAGAAACGTAGCGTTCTGCATTCCCTCCTTCAATCTATGAGCACGCACCCGACCCTGAAGATCATCCGTCTGACAAAAAAAATGAAAAAAAAACGAATCTCTACTTAAATCTCATCATTTTAGGGGGTTGATTGCTATATAAAATCCATCATAGGGGAGTTTTTGCTAATATTTATAATACGGGGGACTTTTTGAGAAATACGATATAATACAGGGGTACTAAATGCAATAAACTCAAAAGTTAAAGACTAAGAATACCTCTCCAACGTAAAGTTTTCTGTCGGGTCGGAGAATAATATAAACACTCGAAGCTCCGATAGTTGATGGAGGAGGCTGCTCTTTAGCACCAATCAGAACGAATCTCATTTCCGAAGGCTCCAATACATTACCATTAATCTTCTTGTAATAATCACTTAATCGTTTCAGACAAATACTAATGACGGCATTTTTCACTTCGTTAAGACAAACTTGTTTCTCGGACTTGTTAACCACTTTAGGAGAAGCGAAGCCGTTTAGTTTCGACTCTTTCGCGTAAACCGAGACGTACAATTCTTCTGCCCTGTGGATTAGTTCTTCGGGCACTCCTTCCCTCTGAGCTGTTTCGAAAGCGAGGCTCTCTTTGCAAATACCGTCCATTAATTTCCATGTTGGCATTGTTCGATTTTCGATGAATTCTGCTCCCATGGATTTAAAGACGGTGTTTTTTCTTCTCAGGGGTAGATCGAAGATTCCGTGGAGGTGTGTGGACACTATGCCGAGGCAGCTGATTGAGTCGAGGGTTTCGATTATGCTGCCAGCTATGCATGTGCCCTTTGCTGTTTCGGTGCCTCGGCATATTTCGTCGATTAGGACGAGGCTTTTTGATGTGGCTCTTGTAATAATGGAACGAATCTCCGACATTTCGACCTGAGAAATTTTAATATGAGTGCAAAAATACGAGATCCATCAATTCTTTTATACTAAGGTTAGGAGTGGGAATTGGACGCATCGGATCAGAATTATTCATTTGGAAAAAATCCAATTTTTCCGGAAGTGGAAAACCAGTTCTGGTATAAAAAAAAATTCGTAAATTGGAACAAAAAAACTTGTTCCAAAATCGGAAATTATCGGGTCGAAGTCGGCGGAATTCAAAAATTTCCAAATTTTTTCATCACCTCTAATACAAAATACATAATAATATTTTACTGATATTATTAGATTAATTTTCGTAAAAAAAAAAAAGCTTGAAAATTGACATCGGATTGAAAATTGGAATCTAAGATGTATTCCAATTCCGTTCCAATTGATATCTGAAAAATCGGCAATCCAAACTTTCGAAATTTGGAATAAAGATATTGTTGTGAAATTGGAAACGATATCATAATTTGTACTATTTTAGAGATAAAATCGTCTCGCATGCGTACAACTAGCAATTCGATTAGATGGTAACATTTAATTCCGATTTTTCTTGTTCGAATCTTATTATGAGAGAGAGAGAGAAATAATCACCTGAAACGAGCTCTTTCCATCAGCAGGACTATCATAAGATTTCATGTGCAACATAATCGAGTCGAAATGTGGAATAGTAGCTGATTGAGCAGGGACCATAAATCCACATATTCCCAATAAAGCAGCAGCACAAATTGATCTCAAAAGACTCGATTTTCCACCCCCATTTGGCCCCGTCAAGAGAAACAGCGACTTCATATCAACATTATTTACTACAGCACCACCTTGGTTCGCGTCAAACCAATACGGAGATAGACCAGTTATCTTCATCCCTTCCGATCCGCGCAGGATATCTATATCCTGCATATTAATCCCATCAAGAATCGTAAATAAATTAACTAAAAACTAAATCAACACAAAATAAAATGAAACATTAGATAATATTTTGGTGCTTTGTGGACGAAAACCTCGGAACTGTGGCTTTGAGTGAGAGTCGGGAAAACCCATTTTCTTCTTCTTCCTTCACTGCATATCAATACAAAATCTCCGTAAAATAAAATTAAAAATTAAAAAAAATAATGTGTTTGAGAAAACTTGTTTTCTTATTACAAAGCATTAGATTGAGACTTCCCTGTAATAATGTAACTGACGGTGCCTGAAAACTCGTCTATGAAAAAGAGGAAAAACTAAACAACAATCGGATAACGTTCAAATGGAGATAGACACTTCCTTGTAAAATAAATTGTCGGAAAAAAACTCTCGCTTCTTAAAAATATCTAGAAAAGGATAAATAATTAGATCGAGAAGAAATATATTAATTGTTAGTGTTACCAACCTTACATGGCCGAATAATGCCTTGGCGATTACGAGCAACATGGAAGCAAACACTAGAATATTGATCTTTGCTTGAAGTTCGGTAGATAATCCTCTCAATAGTTCTAGAACTTTCATTCTTGCTTTGCTACCAGCTTCGTGATACCTGAAACAATAAACAAATTATTGCAAAGCAATAACCGAAGAAATATTATTTTTAGGGTAAATTACAACCACCCCCTGAGGTATGGTCAATTTACGAAAAAACCCCTCTTGTTTGGAGAATTACATCTACCCCTCAACTATGATTTTTTCTTACACGTCCACCCTTATAATGTAAAATTCAACATAACATCTAGATTTCGTGGAATGTGCTCTAGTTTGTACTCGTTTTGTGTAAAAATACAGTTTCTGATGCACCACAATCTGATATATACAAGCCAAAAAACACATATTATGAACATCTTGCTTTAAAATGTGAAGTTCGAATGGGATAAAATTGGGTACAAAAGTGATAATATTCCATATAATCTCGAAAATTCCACTAAATTTGAAACCGCAAGGGCGGACGTGTAAGAAGATTTATAGTTGATGGGTGGTTGTAATTACCCAAACATGAGGGGGGTTTTCGTAATTTGACCATACCTCAGGGGTGGTTGTAATTTACCCTTATTTTTATATTTAAAAAAAAAAAGATAATACCTGGTTAATGCATTGTCCACTTTAACTGTAGTGAACCATTCTTCGCCGACTTTTTTTCCTTTGGAATCGAAGGCAGGTCGGAGCTGTTTGATTTGTTCTTCGCCAGCTGTACCAGCCCAAACCGACGGCGTAAAACGTTTTCCCTTGAACCACACAGCTTCTTGCTCCCGGGAATATAGTATCTCTCCCTTTGGTCCTCCAAGAGGAGCTGTCGTTGCTCTAATTCTCGATATTATCGGAAGAAAATCTTCTTCAATCTGGTAAATAAATAATATTCGACGTTTATTTCGAATATCCATGCGTACATCTAATTTAAAAAGCCGTGCAAAATTTTAGTCTCGAGTAGACTTACAGCAGTGGATAAGGCCTTTGCAGCTTCATCAACTTCTGTGTATTCTTCTTCTAAATGGATTCTCTTCACACGGCCTTTCCATGAAGATTCCATGTCTTCGAAAAATTCGTTCGGGATTACGGCATATGAAGAAGGCTTCTGATCATTTACGCCGTCCAACGAGATAATTTCTCCGATTCTATTGGAAACCGATTTACATTCATTCACCTGAAATTAAAAGAAAAAAGATTTTATTTTAAATGTAAAGGGCAAATTACGGCCACCCCTGAGGTATGACCAAATTACGAAAAAAAACCCTCTTGTTTGGATAATTACAGCCACCCCCTCCTTTTAAATATTTTTACATAAAAATTATGTAATTCGGTTATTTACCGAACCAAATCGTATATTCAGTTCGGTAAATGGTATAAAATGTCGGCGTACCGAAGTTTCGGTTCGGTTTTACCGATTTAACATCCCTAAATTTACCTCTGGAGGGGTATTTCCGTAAGAAAATACATAGTTGAGGGGGGTGGCTGTAATTACCCAAACATGAGGGGGGTTCCTAATTCGACCATAACTTAGGGGGGTGGGCCGTAATTTGCCCAAAATGTAAATTCCACCGGCAAAAGATAAAACCAACATAGAAAATTTTGACTTACTAAAGTCTCTTGTTCGACTTTCAGTCCAGTTGATACCCAAGTAGGATCCATTAATAACTTGAGAATTTCGTCGAGCTCGGAATTTGAGTTCAGTTGCAGAATATCATCAAGAACATTTTTTATTTTGTAAAACTCAATGTGATTAGTCTCCCTCGACTCGAGCAACTTCACGAGCTGGCAGATAGAAAATATAATAACGATTAAAGTACAAGTAGAAGTAAATAATTCAGAAGAAATAATACCAAATAAACAAAAAGATATTAGAAATTACATTATAATTCATTAACATGAGTTGTAATCGAAGCCGGTTGCTTCCAAAACAGAACCTAGATATAAATAAATAAAACTAAAAAGTCATCGATCAAGAATTGAACCTTGGCTGGAGGAACACATGTAAAATCCGGAATGGAGCATGTTATGTTGCTCATTCGTTTGCAGGCTTCTGAAAAGACACAAAAAATGCACCGTAAGGATAATAAAATAATATATTAAAAAACAAAATAGGTGTAGATTTATCTTCTCTTTATGTAATCTCTGCTAGAATATCATAATAACACCACATTGACATCTATTAAGCCATCTAATGTCAAAGGATTTTCCGTACCACTAAGGGTTGTAAATCGGACTGATCGGATCGGAATTAGCCTTTTTGGAAAAAATCGAATTTTTTCGGAAGTGAAAAACTAGTTCCTAATCCGTTCCAAAAAAAAATTCGGAAAAATCGAAAATCGGAGTTTTCGGAAATTGAAACGAAAAAAACTTGTTCCAAATTGGTAAAATTTTCGGATCGGAATCGGCGGAATTCGGAAATTTCCAATTTTTGGTCACCTAAAATATATAATACACAATAATATTGGTAGTTTTAAGTGTAATATTCTGAAGACATCGGAATGTTTTTCGGAACTTAAAATCGGATCGGGAATCGGAATGTTGTAAATGTTCAAATTCCAACCCAAATACTTTTGGAAAAATTGAAAGTCGGGGTTCAGATTGAAAAATATTGTTCCAAAATTGGAAAATTTCGGATCAGAATCGGCGGAAATCGGAAATTCTGTTCTAATTACCACTATATGTTCTAATTACCACTATAAGCAGACACGAAACATTTACTGTCTAAAAACTATCAAGGGAGATATCACACAAATATAGTAGTGATCATATACAACACGGTATAAATATTTACTGCATATATATAACGATCGACCTTGAATTGTTGATGCAATCTCATACGCAGGAGGGTTCAGAAGAAGATCTCTGACAAACCTGCCGGAAAAAGAAATAAGTAGGACACCGAATGTATACATGCACATCTAATATATGTTTCGTAAGTATAGATACATAACAAACTTTTCACTCACATAACAGGAAGGCCGGTACAATTTGACGGAAGCAGCACCTTCAGTAAACAAGGAATCCCTTCAGTTGGAAGAGCACCTGAGAACATGCATCGAAGGATTAATATCACGTTAAATTGCACGAATTGAAATCATCGATTTTTTATAGGGTAAATTACGGTCACCCCCCTCAGGTAAGGTCAAATTACAAAAAAAAAAATCATGTTTGGGTAATTACAACCACCCATCAACTACGAATCTTCGTACGCGTCCACTTTTATCGTGTCAAATTCAATAGAATCTTCTAGATTCCGTGGAATATTCTCTAGTTTGTACTCGTTCTGTGCAAAAAGGCAGTTTCTGATGCACCACAATCTGCTATTTACAAGCCAAGAGACACATCTTATGATGTATAAACTGGAGAAAATATTTCACATAATCTAGAAGATTCCAGTAAATTTGACACCGCAAATGGCGGATTTGTAAGAAGATCCATAGTTGAGGGGTGGTTGTAATTACCCAAACAAGAGGGGTTTTTTCGTAATTTGACCTTACCTCAGTAGTATTTACCCTGTTTTAAATACTACTGCAAAAAGGAGGTTAGATTCAAACAACATGCAAACGGTAATTTTTTTTTTTGTATTACCTATTTGTGTGGCTGTCCCTAGGTGTAACGGACTCGGCCTACTTTCTGGGGCGACTGTAACATTTCTGAATGCGATGTCATCTTCAAGGCCGTAAAGATCTTTTACCTGAATTTTCACAAGGTAATGTAATAAAAATGTGATGTAAACAAAGCATAGTATCTATGTGAAAGCGATCAACGACTTTATTACAACCTTGTACAAAAGCTCGTCCACCGCGTTACCATCGAACCATTCAAATTGTCTTGCACTGCATTCTCCCCATAGCAGCCCACCTTCACCATATTCTCCCCACCGACAAGTTCCTACAAACTTAATCATTAATATTCGTTTTCTTTATAAATCATATTTGGGTAAATCATAAAGAGGGGTAAATATAATAGCCAGTATATATTCAAAAAAATAGTCATTTCTGTAACAATATGAACTATTTTAACCACAAGCGATTTACGTAGAGTGCATCACAAGTTATAACCTGATGAATTGTTCCTCAACGATGTATGCAGAAACAAATGATGGCACCGACAAGTGCGAAGCTTGGTAACCAAGGCTTCTTCGGTCAAATTATCCTCTACAGAATAGGTCTTCATTGTCTCAAACACCGTTACCATGCAGTACCCCTTCGCCGAACGAGATATTCCTTGAGGTAGAAGAAATCAAGTTTTAATCCATGCGAATTTTTTTATCAATTAGCAAATTAGATCAGAATATAATTAATGAATACCCTCGGCTCATACCTACTACGGGCATCGGGTCGGGAAAATCGAGGTCGTGATCATCTCCAACGAGACCAAACACGTATGGACTACCTGGATGTGCATGTCTGAAAAACTCCAATAATTAAGAAATCAGATTTTTCTCGGTATTATAAGCATCACAATTTCACGAAACGCAGTTTAAAAATGGACTAGATTCACAGATATAAAATGATCACCAAACAAAAAATCGAGCTAGTGAATTTTAAAAATTAGTTCAATATGGAAATTTACCCAGATATAAAACGACTTTTACGTGTGCGAGCTTGAGCCGGACCCTGAACTTCTTCCACTATGCACTGCAAAGTAAAAAAAACGAAAACAATGTTTCCAAATTATCTACTTTACGTAGCATTTAAGAAAAATAATCGAGTAAGAGAAACCATAAATAAATCACAAATTTCAATGCTAAAACATCAAATATTGAGTGTCGGGGTACTCACAACGGAGAAACCATTACGTGTTAGGTCATCCAATGTCTGTCGTAAATTCTGCATGAATAAGAAAGTCAAACGTCATCAGGCGAGCGGAAAGCATGGTCAATACTTTTTTACAGAATCGTAAATTGCACAAGTGAAAATTCTTCTGGCTTTCCCGATCTTTCACGAATTGAATTTCTGTTATCCGTATGGGAATTTCATTACATTCCACATTGAGAACCAAACAATAATATATAATAATTAATTTGTTTGAATCAATTAATTTTTAAATAATTATTTAAATAACTGCACTCAAGAAAATACATATGGGAAATAAGTACCACTACAGGGCAACCAGCTCTCGGGATACTATCTGAACGCAAACCACCAAAGGGGTTCAATCCAGCATATTCCACGAGAATGCACGCATCGACACCAATCGCCTCGTAAAACTCTCCAACCTTCATAAATACATTCGTATTAGTGAAATTTTGGGTTTGTTGAGGTGTACGAAAATAAGAAATTAAGGCACCGAAATGAAATAAACGATGCAAACATACTCTGCATAGCAAAACTTCGCGGGGAAATTTCGACTTGAATTGCAATATTTCCCAATTAAGAGTTCCTTCTTTGAGGCTACAATATATCAACTATAAAGTTACCGAATATGCTTCGTATAATTATTGCCCCAATAAATTTTCAATCGTAACCCAAGAAAAATAAATATTTTCCGGTGATGTAAAACGAGAGTTTTGGAGATTACCTTCCATTTCTTAAGGTGGCATCGACGCCTAGTAAATTAGAAAACGAAAGCCGCTGAACAAGCACAACAGAAGAAGGCTTTCTGCACAGCTGTATTCTCTGTAACAAGAATAAACACGCTCCATTTAGACTTGCAAGAAATTACGTAAGAGGTCCGCACGAAGACAATAAGCTGAATTTTTTTTTCCTAATTATGTAATGCGTGAAAATTAAGTGAAACAGCGATTTATCATATATGTATATGTATATGAATATCTAACCTCCTTCCACCAGATAACATGAGCGTAATCTTTATCTTCAAGGGAAATCTTCGATTGTTTGTGTTTCTTAATAGGTTTGGTGTAAAGCTTTCTCTCTTTGAAGCAAAAAACGCGCTCCGACTGCCTTATACTGTCGGGAGAGGAAAATATTGTTCTAAGAGACAACTATATGTATGCGAGTAGCAGAAATTCGAAAACCGGAGAAATATTATTTCGAAAGACCATTAAACTACGGGATTAACATAAATGAGCTAATACCGATTCCAAATTATATTAAGTCAGTTGCCAATAAGTCTGAAACTAAGTGCTTTCACCAATGAGATCACATTATAAGCAAGATATTAAATTCTTGATAATAGAAACCTTAAAATTCAGACACAATTTACAAGATTCAATTTTTACACCATTGTTGCATAATTAACCTAGTGGGAATCCAAAATTTAGTACAGAAAAATAAACCCACATTTTAAAATAAAGTTTCCGCACAAAATAAACAACAATTTCGCGTTATTACATAAGGGAGAGAGAGAGAGAGAGAGAGAGAGAGAGAGAGAGGTGGTTTCGTTACAGTGGGGAAGGGGCGGAGGGAGAGAAATGACGGTGGAGATGGGGGGTGATGAGGAAGGAGAGCGAGCGCCAACGGGGTATAAGAACGACGGCGTTTTTGGTCGTAAGCCAGTACATGGTGGCTGAGTTTTAGTGAGAGAAACAAAGGGGGGAAAACGAAAAGGTGGAGCACCGCCGTGGTGATTCCCGCCAGAAGCTAAAGCGGAAAGAAGCTGAAACTTGTGTCAAAATTGAAGCCCGCTTTTGATTTTATTGAATACGGACACAAAATCCAGGAAAGTACCACAAGCCATAAGATTATTGAAATTTTGGAATTATATAATAATTAGGGTTAAATACAGTTTACACCCCTAAACTATACACTATGTTGTAGTATTTACCACATAAGTATCATTTGTAACAATCGTCTTTCTAAGCACAATTTAATTAGTATTTTAAATTCATTTTTTAGGGGAATATATGAATTAGATTAGGCACATGTGACCAAAAATGGAGGGTGGGAACATCCATTCAAACAGTCATTAACAATCAATGAAACAAGAGAATGAGCCAGTTTATTGCACTGGCGATTAACAAAAATAAAAGAGCAAGAAAATAAATTTGTGAGATGGAGACAGTCCTCAACAACGACATCATAGAAACGGAGTGACGGAATGAAGAGAGGCAAAAGAAAATTCTTAAACAGACAACGGCTCAAAAAATCGAACCAATACCCAAAAGATTGGTAGCAACGCTTCGTCGGCTTGAGAAGAAACCAGGCAGATTCCCAAATATCCTTCATATACCCCCACAAAGACACAAAACATGCGTGGAGGTTTCTTCGTCAACCAAACACTCCTAAAAGAAATTATATTTTAAATTCTAAAACCTTAAAATTTTCTTCTTTATGAAAGGCATAACTAAAAGAATAATTAAATTATCTGTTAAAAAATGCAATATATAAAAATTTAAAATATTATCTTGCGTTTGGTAGATATTAAATAAATAACATCTAATTGTTATTCGACCAATTAATCGCATATCGATAAATTCTAAGAAATCAATTCATAATAATAGTAATCTTAAGTATTTGAATTTATTTTAGCTCATTAATTTCTTAAGATATATTTCACTTATTATTATACAATATATACTACTTTTTAATTATTTTCTAATAATTTAAGTTTAATTACTTTTTAATTTGATATGATCCAATAGTTATTAAATTGTTATGTTTATTATTTTTTAAATTTGAAAATATAAAATAATTGATGTTGAGTTGGTAAGTGTTACGTAGACTACTTAATTTGAAACTTTTATTACGAGTTTTCGAACAAAACGTTTGAAAATACAACTTTTCACTATGCAAATACAATTCATACATTATACAGTCAAAGCAATTATTAGATGTTGCGGGAACTATTGCATTCGAATAATTAGGGCCCGAGTTTGGAGAATCGACGATATCCGTATAATAAATAATTAGTCGGATTATTACTCGGTTGTACAGGAACTATTGCATTTGATGAAGAACTAGCCCATAGCTGCCACAAATATATGAAGGAGATAGTTAATTATCAATAGTATTATTACATTTTCTTTAGCTCCATTTTTTCCTTCGATTTTCGATCGTAAAGGGAAAATTACAGACGTGTCGAACGCGACAAAATAAAAATAAAAAAACAGAAATATCGTGGATCGAGTCAAAGAGTGGTGATCGATGCTATTTTGCAAAGACAATGTTGGTGATTAAGTAGCCACTTGCACCATCAATAATTGACAATTTGCATATATATATATATATATATATACTAGGTATGGAGCACCGCGCAAGGCGCGGTGCCCGTGTGTATTCGACATGTTGCATAGTTTAAAAAAAGTCGGAGATGCATTTATATGAGAATTAGTGTTGCCAAACTAAACACAGATCTGTTCAACTTATACAAGTGCATGAGATCACGACAAAAAATATTCGAATAGCATTGTCGGACAACACCGTATATTAGAAGACTCTGCACTGCCATGGGAGGCATACAATGTAGAGCACCTGCAGAAAATAAAAACAATGAAATAATTGTGAAAGAGGTCCAAAAAAAACTTATCTAATACCTGAGCAGATAGATACGACTTGAAGAAAAAGATAGATGTGCAATGCTCTGCTGCAATTGAGACCAAACTGCCTCTCTCCAATTGAAGAAAAACAGTTGCGAACAGATTACGCACCAAAAACAACGAAAGGAAGACAAAGAAAAAGGGGCGTAAAGAATTTACCCAAACAGGTTATTGTTGGAACCAATTGTGGCTTCATACAAATATATTCTATATTTGCCTTACCTTTTTTAAACGACTTCCTTCATTTTGCTGCCTTTCATCTTCTCAGTCGAGAAATTTCAGCTTTGACCTGCCAGATAAATATCAAAATAGTCTGATACGCAGTTGTATATGTTTTGGACATAACAAAATAAATCAAAAAATAAAAACGAAGAACCATATCGTTCCCCTTAAAGCAAAAACTCTCGACTCACATAATTAATGAACTCAGTAAAAAGCTTGCCATGCTCTTTCATTGTTGCGTCCATTGAGTTCCAAAACTCCAGTAAGGAAGTTGCTACATTTTGTAACTGTCCAGCACTATTCAGTTGTGAACAAACTCCGTGTAATGAAAATGGAAATAAATCTAAAAGAGAAAAATATGAAGCCCGAAATGTGATACCTGGTGCATTCTCTGTATACCAACCTGAAACACGTGAATTAATTTCACAATGTGTTTTTAACTTTTCTTAAATTCTAAACTAAATATCACTACAACATTTTAGCCTTTATACGACGCATGTTTTACCCGACGGTTTGAAAACCGTCGTATAAAAGACCGTTCTTGACGCTTTTTGAATCAATTTTGACACATAAAAACCATCGTACAAAATAATATTATTGACGTTTTTTAAACCAATTTCGACACATAAAAACCGTCAAGAAAAAAACTAATTTGATTTAAAAATAATCTTAAAAATGAACCTGATTTATAAATAATTAAATAAGCAAAAAGTTTCCCAAATTCGCTTTAATCTTTTTCTCTTCCCGTCGATACATCTAGAAAAGCTAGGGCTTTTCTCCACCACCGCTATCGCCGTCGCGGTCGCCACCTCCACCGCCGCTATCGTCGTCGCGTGGCGTCGCAATCATATATCCACCGCCATCGTCGTCTCCATCGCTATCCCCTCCTTCATTGTTGTCTCCATCGCAATCGGAATCCCTTCCTCCACCGCCATCGCGATTACCACCGCCACCGTCACCGCCATCGCCAATGCCACTTATGTCTCCACTTTCTTCTCGTATTGATTTTTTGCCCTAAAATTTCTGTCTACCTACGTTTTACTTTTTAAAAATTTTATTAGATAAATTTGTATTGTTGCCAATGGACTTCATCATTTCTAGACTGCCGAAATTCACTGTCCTCTCTCCTTCTTTAGCTCATTGGCTTGAATGTGCAATAAAAAGCTTCAACTTGGGGATGTGAATGCTGTCTCTATGAGCTTTGGCCCAATTATCGCTTTCAGATAGTTTATCTAGGTAAAGTATTAATCCTTTCAATTTTAATTTGATGTGCTTTTCTTCAAGCCTTTGACTACGTAGATTTGTTTATTTTTCCTCAGTTTTGAAGGACAAAAAATGCATATTATTTTAGCTGTATAATATCTGCAATTTTTGTTGATGAGAATCTTTTGTGTTGCACTTTTGTATTATTATATTTCATGTTAACTTTAAACCATTTTCAAAGGTATGAAATTTATCTTACAAGAAATAATTATCTGATTATAACACAGATTTACGGATATATGAAGTGTCGTAGTGACCACTGGAAAGGGTCCTTGAAGTCATTAATATCAGGAGGTATGCATATAATAGTGTTCTGAATATAATAGCCTTAAGGTCCACAATTCTCTGTTATCAATGAATTAATTTTGGTTCTAACAGGTTGGTCTTATTTCAGGTTGCTGCTCTATTTTACGTAGGAACAACTGAATCTCATCAACCAATATCCGAGCATCTCTTTTATGCGCAAGATTTTGTTGATGAGGTAATTACTGGAGTCTCCGTGTTTCAATCATTTCCGTTAAGATTTATTTGTCTTGGTGTTTTCTTTATGAGTTGATGTACATCATTGCATTTTCATGACTTCTTTTTCCAGTTGAGGATAGCTTTGAAATTTGAGTATGTTATACAGGGCTCATTCATCCGAGATTATCATACCTTATCATAAGTTCTCCAAGAGCCTTATACATTCGTTTTCCTGTGGAATACGGTTTAAAATTCGTTTTGAAACAGAAGATTCTTCTGAAAGAAGGTAAGTGTTATAATTTAATCATATGTATATTCTGTATCAAGAAAAGTAGTTTAATTTGGTAGGTGCAGTTGCCTGCAAGATGGTATGGTTCAAAATGAAAGTATTTACTGGTAATAAGTATTTTCTTGATTTTGGCTGGACAATTTGATACCCCCTTGGTTTTCATGCTCTACATGTTCAAGTACCTTTGTGGATTGATTTTTATATATAATATTTGGTATTATTGATTAATCTTGGGTTCTTTTCATACAGGTAAGCTATAGCATTGATACAAAACCATTATTAATGATAAGGATGTTGACAACTCAAGTCTGAGTGAGGGACGGATCGTTTCAATTAATATTACCCATTATGAGTAAGATTTTTCTACATCCAATAAAAGCTACATAATCAGTTTGCAAGCTTCGTCTATAAACTCCGTCATCCATATATTATCTCTTTATCCAACTCAAGTGTTTGGTCAATTTCTTGCTTAAATTTTTGCATATTTGATGATTAATTCTCTGAGTAAGGTCTTGATTGGATGATTCAAGAATTCTGGCCTTGCAGGGCAGGCCCTAGTGCTTTTTTTAATGGGAGGAAATGTTTAGACAGATACAACTTCAGTTCCTCCAACATCAGGTCTAGGTAAACAATATATTATTCTTAATACTTAATTACTAAAGTTCTATTTAATTTAAACTAATATTGTCATTTATTTTCAGACATTGAGTATGCCCTGCACTAAACCAGACTAAACCAGCTCATAGTTATCGCCATCGTTGCTCTAATTCTCTTATGTTCATTTTATGGCGTTATATTAAACTTTCATCTTTTATGTTTTGTGATTTTTTCATGATTTTTAATATCTTTCTTTATATACTAAACTAAGATATGCAATTTTTCCAGATTTTCACATGTTTATGAGGTTTTATGGCCTCTCCTAAGCGATATCTCAAGGCTTGACAAAACTGCATGTTAATCAGGTGAACCTTCTTTATATTATTTATACTTTCTTCATAATAAAATTTGATTTCTTTTATGTTATTTCGTTTCAGTTTAAAGTGATCTACCAGTAGATATATCGTAGATATATTTTCTGGTGATGGAATAACTTGTTTTTTTCTCTGGATTGTACAGGAACACATTGTACATGGGAGCATGGGATCAAGGACACACATGCCACTAATTAACCAAATTTAATTAAATTCAAAGTTATTAGCTTGTTTTGTTATTGTTACACTGAGATGTATAGACTTTAGAAGTGAATGTAAGTGTTGTTTTAAAGATAATTTTCGTGAAGTTTGGTTTTGCATACTTTTAGAAAACAAGAATTCCTGTATTTGGGGAATCCTAGTGATTTTTGGCATTTGTATATGTTCGTGTTGGGAAATTATAATAATTTTTGGCATGCGGTTACATTTTTTAATAGGTTTCAGTATTAATTCGAAGAAAATATTGAAAAATATATACAAGTATTTATGACGGTTTTCAACTGTCGAGAAATGTATTCTTGACGGTTTTCAAAATATGTATGAGTATTTACGACGGTTCTCAAAGCGTCGAGAAACATTATTCCCGACGGTTTTTTTACACGTGGAAGTATATACGACGGCCTTTTTCTTGACGGTTTCGTGACGGTCGAAAACCGTCAAGAATAATGCTCCCGACGGTTTTTCTACTTTTCCCGACGGTTTTTTACCATCGCATAAAGCCATAAATGTTGTAGTGAATCTTAGTTAGTGGGCTAAGTAGGGTTAAGTAGTGCTTAGTGGATTTAATTATGGAATTTATCTTAACTTCCTATCTAACCCACTAACCCATTATCTTGAGTGCTCTTGTGGTTGGTTTTCTTGCAGATCATGGGCTGAGAAGTGGAAGCTTGGCAAGTCTATAAATACCAAACTCAAGACTCAAGATTTGTACAGATTTCGAGGAAACAAAAATAGAGCTGAAGTTTTAATCTCGAGAATTTTAGTGTGTTTTCTAGGATCTGTTGTACGTACTCTTTATGAGTACATTCTTTGAAATCTAGAATTTTTAATATTTTTCTTTTAGTATCTAGATTTGGTTGTAAGAGTGATCTTGAAAAAGATTCATTCATAAGGAAGAAGTTTTCGCACTCTTCTGTTTGTATTCTTAGAATACTGTTTTTAATATATTTTTCTGTCCTGTAAAGGGCAAGTTCACAAGTCTTTACTTGTGAACATTTTTAATTCTGAGTATTGTCTTTTAATCTTTATATTTCCGCTGCATGTTGTCTCAAGTGTCATAACATTTCAGATAACATCTCTGTATAATACGAATTCGGGACCATAAATTATTTCAATTGGCATCCAGAGCCAACACTTGACGTATACTAAGTGTTTGTTCCTATTTTCTTTACAGAAACGAATTCGTGATGGATACTCAGATGACTGCTTCTATGCGACCTCCTGTACTTGATGGCACGAACTACACCTACTGGAAAGTCAAGATGAGGGCGTACATCAAAGCCATTGATGAGAGAGCATGGAGATCTATTCTCACTGGATGGAAGCCACCAACTATCACAGATGTGGACGGAGATGTTTTTCCAACTCCAGAATTACGGTGGACACCAGACGATCTATCAAATGCTAACCAAAACTCAAAGGCGTTAAATGCAATTTTTAATTCAGTAGATTTAACAATGTTTAAATTAATCTCTGTATGCACTTCTGCAAAGGATGCTTGGGAAATTCTTCAGCTACATTGTGAGGGATCAGATAGTGTCAAAAGAACCAAGCTCAGATTACTCTCTTCCAAATTTGAGAGACTGAGAATGGAGGAAACTGAAACAATTTCTCAGTACAATGAGAAGTTGATTGATTTGGCTAATGAATTTCAATCCTTAGGTGGTCCCTTGAGCAACGAGACACTAGTGAATAAGGTATTGAGAACCCTTCCAGAAAGGTTCAGCATGACAGTTACTGCTATTGAGGAGGCTAAAGATACATCATCTCTACGGCTGGACGAGTTAATTGGTAGTCTCAAGTCCAGAGAGATGAACTTCGAAGATCAAAGAAAGGAGAAAGGAAAGGCTATCTCAAATGCACTCCAGGCAGAATTAGACAAGGAAGATGTTGCTCCGGAATATGATGATGATGCAGAAGAATGCCTCAACAATGTGGCATTTCAGATTCAGAAATTCAATAGGGAGTACAGACGAAGTGGAATCAAGCCCAGACAGTTATTTCCAGAAGGGTCTCCACAAAATCGACAAACTCAGCCCCGGAACAGATCGATTCCACAGAGAACATTTTCTCAAACACCTTCTCAAAACAATTTAAAAAATTCTTCTTTTATTCGTTCAAATTCTAAACCACCTAACTTAGATCATATTAAATGCAGGGCCTGTTCAGGATTTGGACATTATGCTAATGTATGTGCAAATACCTTGAGAAGGAGAGGAATGAGTTTGATTTGTGCTGTCAGTGATGACGAGGAAGAACAACCTGAACAGACAGAGGAACAGCAATCCTCTAAACAAGCTCTTTCTGTCAGATATCTCACTGAAAGTTTCTCTGAAACAGAATCCCAAGGAGTCTCTCTGGATGCTGCAACACTTTCTGAAACACTTTCAGTTTGTGAGTTAAATACTGATCATTATACCTGTTTAAACTCTATTTCTGTGAATGCAGCAGAATCCAGTAATGAAGCAGTCAGTGATGATGAAGAAATATGTAAGAAGCTGATCAGAAACTTGGAGAAGAAGACTCAAGCTCTAGATGCAGCCAACAAGGAAAACTCCTCCCTCAAAGAAACAATCACACATTTGGAGGTTGGAATCACCAAGAAGGATCTTGAACTGGCAAAAGTGAAAGAAGAACTCAAAAAGGCAACTCTAGCAATCAAGAGGATGAACACTGGCACAACTAAACTCGAAGAGATTGTGTCAATGGAAAAGCACTACAAACATGAAGGGCTAGGGTTCAAGAAACAAATGAAGCCAGTTAAGAAGAAAGAAATTGTGTTTGTAAGAGAAAAGGGTGCAAACAGAAAGGATTGCAAGAAGTCCACAGTCACCACTCCAGATTCCAGAATAAGAGGTTATGTTTGTCATTATTGTTTCTCACCAGGACACATTCGTCCATTTTGTGAAAAACTCAGCAGTGACAAAATGTTGTATAAAATAAGCCACAACACTTCAAGGAACACCTCAAAGAAAAAGGTAGAATCTACCAAAAAGGAGTGTAAAATATGGACTCCCAAAGGTAAACTTTTGTGCAAGGCAGTATACACCTCTTTAAATGCGAACATTTCAGGTTCATGGTACTTTGATAGCGGATGCTCGAGGCACATGACTGGAACAAAGGAATTTCTGTCAAACTACCACACACTTAATGGAGGACGTGTAACCTATGGAGGAGGAGCTAAAGGCAAAGTGGTTGGACGTGGAACCAAGGTTGTAAAAATCGGTAATCGGGTCCGAGTCGGTCAGGCACCGACTCACGATTAATCGGTGCGGCGGTGATTAATCGGTGATAAATCGGAAATAAATCGGTGTTTAAAATTTAATATAATATATTTGTAGATATTATTTATAAATACTCAAAACATAGATAAAAAATATTTAAACATAGTTATATCTCGATCATTTATATATTCTAATAACATAATAAACGTTTAATAATAATAAGATCATAATACATGAATATCCTTATAAAATATAAATAAAAAGGCAATTTTTTTTGAATTTACATACATTCTTGGCATACATCATTAGTTCTTTAACAATAATAATTAACATAAACAAAATAAATTATAAACTCATTTTTTTTTTATTAAAATCCCAACTTTTATTTTGATTTATAAAAAAAAAAAAAAAAAAAAAAAAACCGATTTTTGACCGATTTTTTGCCGATTTTTGCCACCGAAGTTTGACCCGCCTTAAAGGTTTGACCGCCTCGGACCGCCTCAAACCGCCTCGGACCGCCTCAGACCGCCTCGGACCGCCTCAAACCGCCTCACAGGCAAAAAACCGATTTTTCAAACCTTTACACTAAAATCGTAAAGGTTTTGGACCGCCTCCGCCTCGGCGGCCGATTAATCGGCCGCCTCGACCGATTTTTAGAACACTGCGTGGAACACTCAGTATTGAGGGACTTCCAAAACTGTCAAATGTCCTGCATGTTGAAGGATTGGGATCAAATCTCATCAGTATCAGTCAATTGTGTGATGATGATCTACGTGTAGAATTTGATAAATACTGTTGTTCTGTGTTTGATAATCAAAATCATTGTGTACTTACAGGTTCCAGATCAATGGATAATTGCTATCAAACAGGTGACACCATCTCATGTAAGAGCTCAAGAGTAAGTGAAGTAGAGTTGTGGCACCAGAAACTCGGGCACACAAACTTCAAAAATCTGAAGCTGCTCAACAAATACAATGCCATAAGAGGTGTACCAGATCTCAAGATCAAGGATATTCCTATATGTGGAATGTGCCAGAAGGGAAAGCAAACCAGAGTACCACACAAAGTGCTGCAACACGTTGGTACCACTATGTGTTTTGAACTTGTACATATGGACCTTATGGGTCCTATAGAGGTAGAAAGTCTAGGTGGTAAAAAATATGTCTTTGTATGTGTTGATGATTTTTCAAGGTATACTTGGGTGTATTTTTTAAGAGAAAAATCAGACACTTTTGAAGTGTTCAGAAATCTGTACAGGTTTGTGAAAACTCAATTTCTAGTTTCTGTTCGTAGAATTAGATCTGATCATGGAAAAGAATTTGAGAATGCTTTATTTCTTGCATTTTGTAATAAAAAGGGTATAAAGCATGAATTTTCTGCTCCAAAAACTCCTCAGCAAAATGGCATTGCTGAAAGAAAAAACCGAACCATCCAAGAAATGGCTAGGGTGATGATGAGTGCAAAAAATCTGTCTAAAAGGTTTTGGGCTGAGGCTGTCAACACAGCTTGCCACATCTCAAATCGTGTGTATCTAAGATTAGGATCTATGATGACTTCATATGAAATTCTTTATGGTAAGAAACCTAATCTAGAATACATGCATGTGTTTGGATGTGTCTGCTATGTTCTAAATGATAGAGATCACTTAGCTAAATTTGATTCAAAAAGTGATTTGAGTTTGTTTATGGGCTACTCTAACAACAGTCATGCTTATAGAGTATATAATCTAAGAACTCGAACCATTATTGAATCTGTAAATGTGGTATTTGATGATTTTGCTGATCTTCGCAGTAAAACAGCTGAAGATGAAGTTGATGATTTAATTGCTGAAAGAGAAACAAGAAGAAGTCATTTCTACCACAGATGATCCAGATACAGACAGTCCAGGTCCAAGAGAAGAAGATGTTGAGCCAAATGATACCACATCGGACTCAGCACACCATCCAGAAACTGAATTGCAGCCAACCCTTGATGTCTGCAGAAAGGAACCCTCAAGTAGAATTCAGAAAAATCACCCATCTACTCAAGTAGTGGGAGATATCTTTGATGGAATGAGGACCAGAAGAAAAGAGAGAGTAAACTACAGAGATATGGTAAGATTTGCAAATTTATCTTCTGAATGTGCACTAACTGGAACCACTTGTTTTGTGTCCTCAGTAGAACCAAGAAATATTGCAGAAGCTCTGAAGGATGAATTCTGGGTAAATGCAATGCATGAAGAGTTGAATCAGTTCATCAGAAATGATGTTTGGTACTTAGTTCCCAGACCAAATCATGTAAATGTGATA